GAATGTGCCCTGGGGTCAAGAGTGTCCATGGCTAATGAGAACAGCCAATACTGGTGCTGGGATGGTGCTGTCTAGGTATTTATTTAAGGCTCAAAGTTTTTGTTTTTTGTTTTCCTTCCTGAAACATAATTTTCAGCTGTGAAAATTGAAGAGAGATGAAAGTATTTTTTTAAATCTTTTTTCCCCTTTAGCTTTTAGAACATTGCATGAAATTCTGCTAAGTCCTATAAAATAGCCGGGGCCCTGGTACTCTCCTACATCTTTTAGAAATAATCCCCATCTTTTTTTCCTCCAGATCTCTGATCATTATGAAGCCTGCACCTCCACCAGCTCCCAACTCCAGCCCAAGAGAGGATCTATTTTACTCCGTGTTAAGTTATGGCCTGAAATCTTAAAGGGGAAAGAAAGCGAGATGGTTAGAAGGAAGGAAGCCCAGAAGACTAAGGCAGGAGAGGAGGGCACGAGCCAGATGTATTCTGTAATTGTAATGGAAGGAAGCATTTTGAGTTTTGACAAAGGATTCTGAGATCTTCCACCCACCAATAAAACTCTTCCTCTATTTTTGGCTCTGTTCATGTCCCCTCCTACCACAAGTCCAAAGGCAGGGCAGACGTTTGTTCTGTACCTTCTCGTACACAGGAAAGAATCGTGTAGTGGCTCTTTCAAGGATGTAGTCAAGGTTCATCTCCTTCTCTTCGGGCAGAGAGAGGGGAAAGTACATAATCATATCACTCAGGTCCCTCAGGCCTTCCACGTACATGTCAATCCTGAAGAGAGGGTGAGATAACAAGGAGTTTCCAGGGAAAGGAAAGCATTATGTCATCATCCAAAGGAAGGTTTACACCAGCACCTCAGCTCACCTGCCTAGTTATCGGTGTTCTATGAACTAAGTTGTAACACCCTATGTTAACGATGATGCACGGGTATGTGAAAAGCAACTATGTAAGGCTAATGTTGGCGTCCCTGCAAAGAGTTAGCACAGTTAGATGCTGACCAAAAGACTGGAAGTTCAAATCTACACAGAGGCACTGTGGAAGAAAGATGTTCTATTTCTGAAAAACACAGCCCTTGACAGTCTATGGAGCATAATTCTACTCAGACACACGATACTGTTATGAGTTAGAGTCAATTTGGCAGCAACTCATTTTTTACTGGTAATTCCATGTTAATTAAGACCCATATGCATATAAAATATTAAAATAATTCCAAAATGCTAAATTTGGGCAGATATTGTAATTTGCCATTTAAATGTTACAGTAAAGGTGAAATGATGTATGTAGTTATATGTAGGGAAAAGAGTAACCAATGGCCTAGTCTAGATGCTACCAACGGTCCATGTTGGTCAGTAAGCCAATGCAACAGAACAGGAAAATTACCCCATACATTCCCACTTGCCACCACTCAAATCTCTCTGTCAGAATGAATGGGCAAAATGAATACGATGTTTGGTATGGTGATTATATAATCTGGTGTCAATTTGGGACTTGAGAGGATTACAGGTGAAGGGGTAGAGTTTAGTCTGTCAATCAGGTTATAGTCAATGAGGCCTCTGTGTGGGCATGGTCTTCTCTTGATGATTCTGAGAACTCTGAAATTCCTCTTTGGAGGTGGAAGACACACACACTCTCTCTCTCTGCTCACACCCTGGGAGACAGAGCAGCTGACAA